CCCCCCGCCGGCAAGACAGGCAAGAGAAGGACTAAGAACAGAATCCAGAATGTCAATGACCAGCTTATGGAATCTTGCCATCTTGAAAAGCCTGGGGAAAATCCTTTAAAGCACCATAAAATTAAATCCATATCTGATGCTTAGGCAAGCTGCCGCTTAAAAAATGACTTTTCTGCCCTGAGAATCAGTTCTTTCTAACCAACTTTCTACCCATGTAGGGAACTCCATGCCATGTGGGTTTCTGGGCTAACGATTAGTTTTAGGCAGTAAATCACGGAGAGGGGATTACCGGTGTCTGGACATGGATTTAACATGAGGAATGGCAACTCAAGTCAAGTTGAAGGCCAGTCATTATCAGAGCAGACAGTGTGTGGGGGGTATCGGTTAAGTTTCCCTCCGAGGGACACATACATTGAACAGCGAGGGTGCAGAGTCCAGAAAAATATCAAGAAATAATTGGTACTTTGCTGGGTATCAGGATTAGTCATGTATTTGGTTGAGTCATATGGAATTTCCAATATTTATAAATAAAAAATGGTCAAATATTAGTGATTTCACATGGTTTCATCTATCGTTGACTATTACTAAAAAAAAATATGTGAGTTTGGATGGTCTGTTTCACTTGAGGATTTCAAAGAATGTCTGTTGCACAGATCTATTTTAAAGGGGGGCACTGACGTGTAGACCACAGTTAAGAATCAGAACTGGAAGATACTGCAAACTGGAATCCCCCCGCCCCCCACCCGAGCTTTTTCAGCTTTGGGATGGCACATAAATCCATGCTCCCCACACATGCTCCTTGGAGCCCTGACTTCAAGGGACACTAATGTTATTGAGAACACAGTACGTGAGATCTGGAAGCCAAATGACGTGAAACAGATCTCTTCACTGCAGGATTTCTCAGAGACTGTAAGATGCAAATGTCCATGACCAATTCCCGAAGGGGAGGTAAGTGTGTACATGGCATCTCCCGAATGTACTTGCCCACATTTACTTCTCACTGTATCCTGCACGCTTTGACGTGCACATATCATTTGGGGATCTTGCTGAAATGTAGATTTCTGCGTGGATCAGGGACTCTGCGTTTCTCACACGCACTCAGGTGCTGGTGATGCTGATGGCATTGGTCCAGGGACCATGCTCTGAGTCGTGGAGGTCTAAGGGGTTTAGCATCGCCCAGGGGACCACTCCCAGGCATTGGGGTGGGCCTGGCTCTGAACATGGGAGAAAGGCAGCGCCTTGGCCTCACCTCCATAAACTCGGTGCTGGAGCCCACGTGCTGCCTAAAGCACAGAAGGAAGTTCTCCTCCGTTGGCAGGATCTGCGCCAGCTGTGGGGGCCAGAGAGCGACAGAGACGTTAGAGGGCCCTGCCAGGGAGCAGAGCAGACTTTCCTGGAGGGAGGATGGTGAATGGCCAGCGGCAAGGTAGCTTGGGAGCTGCATTTGGCTTTTCTTCCTGAGAACAGCCCTTCAAAAGGGAAGAAGGATGTTCTGAGAAGTGTATCTGGGTCGCCCCACATCTTAGGTGTGAGCAGCTTGAGGGACAGACAGTGGTGCCACTTTAAAAATGCAAGTATCCTGTCTTCAAAAGAATACTTAATAGATGATTCCATCTATATAAAATTCTAAAAAATGCAAACGAATCTGAGATGGGTGGTTGCTTGGGATTTTTAACGGTGATGGAAATGCTGTATCTTGATCGTGGTGGTAATTACATGGCTGTGCACAACCCCAGAACTTGGCTCTTCCAATCAATGCAGCTTATTGTACGTAAATTATCCCTCAACAAATCTGATTTTTTAGACAATGCAAAAATACCCTAGTTCAGCAAACACGGCTGGCTGTCTCGGACATACTTTGCTCCCAGCTTCCTTGGTCACAGGCAAATCCTGATAGGTCTGAGTCAGCTAAATGTGCCAATCCTGTTTCCCTTGCCAGGGATTGGCTTATGAACAGGCATGTGACCTAGTTCTGGCCAATGAGATGTGAGGGGAGGTCTGCTAAAAGTACTCCTGGGAAAGGTTTCCTTGCTCCCAGGAGGGGCCAGATGAGATGGATCCTTCCTGCATCTGAACATGGGTGCATCCGGATGTGATGGCTGAAACACTAGCCCAGCCTGAGGATGAAGCTATTTTGGGGGGCAGAGAGCTGCGGAGAAGCAGGGATGGGGGCCTGGCCTCCTTCATCTGGAGCCAACCCTTCCCATGGCTCGTCTCATTAAGAGCCTCTCATGGTTTAAGCCAGGAGTAGGTAAACAATGGGCCATGAGCCGAATCTGGCCCAATGCCTGTTTCTGTAAATGAACTTGTCTTGGAACGTGGCCATGCCCATTCATTTTTATACTGTCTATGGCTGCTTTTGTGTCGCAGTGGCAGAGTTGAAAGAATTGTGACAGAAACTATATGGCCTCCAAATCCTAAAACATTTACCGTCATCTGGATCTTTCCAGAAAAGAGTCTGGTGACCCCTGGTTTAAGCCCATTTGAGTCAGGATTTTCTGAGACTTGCAGCTTAGACATCTATGCTCTTGGTGCCCTTCCCAGGTCCCCCCTTAGCTAGGCTGGTGGGCCATCCCTCACGCCATGAAGGACACCTGCTAATGGCTCAGAGCTGCCCCCTGCAGCAGAGCTGCCCTCCAACAAACCACCGCTGCCCCAGCCCCGCCACCTCCCTGACCTGGAGGGGGCAGCCTGTATCCTACGACTGACTGAAATGGGGGTACAAAGGACCACCCCATCCCTTGCCCCAAGGTGAGACCAACTCTGGTTGGTGTCTGTCTCAGTCTCTGCTTCCGGGGCACTGCCCTGAGGCAGCAGCCCACCCAATCCACCCTGGGAGGAGCTATGCCCTCATTCCTGTGCTGCCACCATTACGCCTGAGCCCTGGACCACACATCACAAACTGATGGCCACAGGCGTTTGGTTAGGCTGGCACACACATGCCTACGTACTGTGTGTGTGTGTGTGTGTGTGTGTGTACATAAGTTGTTTAATTAAACAAGGAAGCCATTAAACGGAGGTGGGCTTAACGCCTTAGTAGCCTCTGTGAGCAAACCCAAACTGAAACCGACCAGCCAACAAGGTGCTCCCAAATAATGCAGCCACTTAAGCTCTAGCCAATCAGATAATTTCCTTGCTCTGCTCCCCCCTCTTCTCTGTGAGAATCTTTCCCCAGCTACTGCTGGTGGAGTTTTCCTAGCCACCTCTGGTTTGGCACTGCCCCATTCGAATCAGTTTTTGCTCAAATACACTCTTTAAATTTTTAATATGCCTCTATTTCTGTTTTAGCAATATGTATTTATGCAAACATAAACGTGTGTGTATTTATATTAGATATATATGATACGTGCTATATATGTAAATTAGATGTTTAAAAATTAATTAAGTAATTAAAACTGTTGCCTTCGGATGCCTTCCGGTGGGGCACGAACTCTCTTGTTCTCCAGCTGTCATGCTCCTTCCTCTCTTAAGCTGGGATCCTCACCCATTTGCAGTAGCTGCTGGGACCGTGAGAGCACGTCTTAGACCTGTCTTAGGCCAATGTTTGTTGCTTCTTTCCTCGTGAGGCACAGAAAAAGTCCCGCCTGTTCTCGTTGGTCAGCCTAAGTGCTGGAGGTGGCATGGGGGCTTCCAGACCACCCCCCATTTAGAGGCCCAGAAGGACACCTGTGCTTGGCGGAGTAGCTCTTAGCCAGGATGGTAGGACTCACCTCAGCCATTTCAATTTTGCCGTCCGAGTTCTTGTCATACTTCTGCATGAACTCCTTCATCTTCTCCCCAAAGTTGTCAGTCTTTGACATCTGAGGAAAGACAGAGGGGGGCTGACTGGGCTGCCGGGCCCCATGGGAACCACGGATCTCTCACCTGCTTGGTGTGGTAGTGGCGCGAATCATTCTGTGCCCCAAATCTGCAGGCACGGAACCAGGCCGGGCCGATGCTCTGAGTGGTCAGGGCTGCACTCTTCTCCTTCCCAAGATCCCTCCAAGCCCAAGCGATCTCTCCTTTGGGGCTCGGTCACATGAGGACATATACCCCACCCCCATGCAATTCATGCAATCAAACATACCCTCTGCCTTTGAGACAGGATTAAACCACAGCTGTATCAGAAGGACGAGGACTTATTCCCATCACTCAGATTTGAGAACTGAGGCCCCAACATTTTACCAAGGCAACTTCTCATACAAGCCAACTTATTCCACAAGGAATATACTAGCACTACCCTAGAGCAAGGTAAATCGCACATTTTCTTCTCTCAGGTCTAAAGGCAATTCATGACATTTTTCACCCTGATTTTATGCCAGGAGGAAGGTGAGGAGAAAGTCTTCATAAAGCTGAGGGGTAATTTCAGTTATCCTTTAGATTATTGTGACTACTCCAAAGACAGACAACTTCAAAATCTCCTTTAGCCCATCACTGCCTACCTTAAATATAAGGCTCTCCAAAATTCTCCAATCTTAGCCTGTTTTGGGTGCTGCTGAATAATTCTATGCATTAACGGGCTCTTCCTCATCCCTCACCAATGGTCACTCTGCTTGAGCAGCTGAGGCCTCTTCTTGACTTCTCTGATGACTTCTGGGTGGGTTGGGGGCTTCCTCGGATTGGGCCCAGGAGAATTCTACCCGTTCTTCAGGTTAGAGTCTTTTCTGTATACCCTTCTACTGCTTTCTACCTGGGAACCGGCTTTAATTTGCCACGATTTATTCATCAGTATTTATTGCCTTACATTTATAAGTGTGCACGGAATGTTCCTAGGCCCCTATCACAGATGGGGTCAGCTGGTTTAGCTTTCACAGCAGCCCCAGTGAGGTGAGTCGCCTGTCCCTTCTACACTTCAATGCAGGCTGAGGTGAAGGGTCTTCTCCCGAGGTGACCAGCCAGTGTAGCTAGAATTGGAACTCGTGGTACCTGCTTCCAAGGCCAATATTCCTTCTGCCCTATAACAGCTGCTCTGAACACCAGCCCCAGATGGTGTCAGTTGAGATGGTTGTTGACAGCCTTGAGAGTCACCCCTGAAGCCATCTGAGGAAGGGAGTGACTAAGATTTCAGACTAGAAGCACTTCATCAAAACCCATTCCTCCGCCTACCCCAGGATCCCAGAATCAGTTTTGAAGCCTGGGTTTTCTGTGATGCAGGCTTCTTCTTCTTCTTTTTTTTTTTTTTTAAGTTTTTACTTGACACAGAGAGAGAGGGAACACAAGCAGCGGGAGCAGGAGAGGGAGAAGCAGGCTGCCCGCGGAGCAGGGAGCCCGATGTGGGGCTGTATCCCAGGACCCTGGGATCACGAACTGAGCCAAAGGCAGATGCCCAACAACTGAGCCACCCAGGCGCCCCGATGCAGGCTTCTTTATCCTAGTAATGAGGGGTCATAGGGGGACAGTTGATAAACCCATGAATCATCACCATCGACTAAGCCCATGGACGGACCTCCCCTCGCTGGGGCACTCTGCTGGGCTCTGGACCAGGAGCTTACCGGTGGATTTGTGACTCATCTCCCAAACTGCCCCATGAAGACTTGCTAAGAAGCAGCAGACTGGCCAGCAGACATGCAGCTGGGGAGAGTGGGGAGACCCCCAAAGGACCAGCGGGAGCTGGGGGTGGTAATGGATCTGACTGTGTATCTTTGAGAACTAGACGTGGGAATCCCAATAAACTAGCTCCAATTACCTCAGCTTTTCAGTATTTCAGACAGTCCTCCCAAGGCTTTAGTGAATTTCATAGTGCCAGCTCATGACTACAGGCCCCACAATGACCCTGCCCTGAAGGGGCTGGGACGTGATTTGGAGTCGCTTCAGGCAGGCTGAGAAAGGCAGTCTGACACCACCACAAATGAGGCCAGTCCGTACTATGTGGTTCAGATGCTGGTTTGGAGCAATCCTGTGTTCATCTAGGTCCTTGCTGAGGATTCCAGATTCTGTTAGTCTAGAACAGTAGTTCTCCGGTGGGGATTATTCTGTGCCCCCCACAGGGGACATTTGGTGATTTCTCGAGACATTTTTGATTGTCACAACTTCGAGGGGATGCTCCTGGCATCTCATGGGGAGTCCCAGTGATGCTGTTATGTATCCTACAATGCACAGGACAGCCCCCCCACGACGAAGAATTATCCAGCCCTGTCAGTAGTGCTGAGGCTGAAAAACTTCAGTCTAGAATAAAGACACTTCAAACCCCTGAGGCATACAATTGAGTCAGGAACCCCCTGAGAATCTTAGATAGGCTCTGGACTATTCCTTAGCGCAAAAAAAAAAAAAAAAAAAGCTTTTATACACATATACACAGACACAAAGCTTTGCAGTTTTGGGAGGGTTCAGTAACCCCTGGTATCCATTCATGAACACCCCTCAATCCCAGACACCCAAAGATATTGCAGGAAGGTTCTCTTTTTAAGGGATTATTCCAACTGAAAAAAATCCTTACAAATAAAAACTTGGAAGGTCAAGACCAGAGATGTCAGGCTGGCTTAGGAGATGCATAACTTGGGGACAGACAATGCTGACCAAGGCCGTGATCAGGATGATAGAAAAATCAAACAATGGGACAGAGTACTGGGCTTACCATGCCAGAGCCTTTTCTTGCCTTCTCCAGCTCTTGGAAAAAGTTTTCTAGCTCTTTACCTTCAATGTACCCATTTCCTGTGAAGAAAGCAAAGAAAAAAAAAAAAGAAAGCAATTGACCTCAGAGCTGAATAGTAAGACTGATGGGGGGTTGGTGAGGGGATGGGGAAGTCAGGGGCTTCATGGAGAACTCCTCCCTGGTCACCAAGCAGGTGTCTGGGTTGGCCTCAGACTGTGCAGCGTTAGGGATGCAGATCCTGCTCTCAACTGTGCAGCTGCAAGATTAGTAACCATGTGTCTTTGAGGTATACTTTCAGTAGTCAGAGAACGCTGGGAGGGACCGGCATCTGGGCCAAGCTGGTAGAAGTGGGCCAAGCCGGAACTGTCTGCAACTGGCTGGGCAAGCAGCAGGAGTGAGAATCCACCAGGCGACAACAGGTCATCAGCATCTGGGCTTGTCAGCAGGTGGCAGGCCCTGGTCACAGGAGTGAATGAGGCCGAGACAGAATTTGGGTCTCTGGAGTGGGAGGGTATACTGCGTTGAAGAGTGACCCCCTCACCCCCCCAAACCCATGCCCACCTAGAATCTCAGAATGTGACCTCACTTGGAAATAGGGTAATTATAATTAGTTAAGATGAGGCCATGGTAGATTAGGGTAGACCCTAATCCAATGACTTGTGTCCTTATAGGAAGGCCATGTGGAGACACGTAGAGACACACAGGGAAGAAGACTATGTAAAGACAGAGACCAAGACTGGAGTGATGTATCTCCAAGCTAAGGAGTGCCATGCTTCGCTGGCAACCACTAGGAGCTCGGAGAGAGGCACAGAAGGACTGTCCCCGAGAGCCTCCAGAAGGAAGCATGGTGCCCACACCTTAGTTTTGGACTTCCAGCCTCCAGAACGGTAAGAGAAAAAACCCTCTGTTGTTTTAAGCCACCCGGTCGGTGGTACTTTGTTACAGCAGCTCTGGGGAGCTAGAAAAGAAAGAAAGGCGGAGTGTCTGTCCTTTGGGCTGGGGCCACCCGAGAGTGTTGGTCACCAGGATTATGCAGAGGGGAGGCGATCCGCTGCAGGGCCATGAAGAGAGGAGGCCATGAGGTTTGTGGACACAGAGTAAAACCCTGTTCTGCTCACTCACCGCCTGTAGGACTTTGGAAAAGTCATTTAACCCGTGTCAGCTGCAAAGTGAGTTTTGACACTTGTGTGTAGAGCCCACCAAGCCCCCCATTATGAGGGGACTGTCAATGTGGCTTTTATTCCAGTTCAGTGACCAGAATATGAGGAAAAGATGGAACGAGTCAGGGTGAAAAGTGCAAAGATCAGGACCGGGCCCCAAGGTCAGCGCCTGACTCTGAAGAGCACATAAGTGGTGAGAGGCCCTTTAGGTTCTCAAGTCTTGAACCCAGAAGGCCTAGAGACTGGGTGAGCTGAGCCCATGGCCAAGGTCACTAGTCCCTGCTGTGATTGAGAGGAGGCATTTCTGGGTGGGAAATCAGACAGGCCGAAGACAGTGCTCCTCACACTCCCCCAAACTGGAATCTCCTGGGATCGTTAAAAAAAAAAATGGATGTCTGGCTCCCACTTCCAGACATGCTGATGTAATTGGTTTGGGGTGTGAACTAAGCATCATGATTTTTTTTTTTTGTAAAGCTCCCCAGGTGATTTCCTTGTGCAGCAAGTTAGGAAACCACTGGCCTAAAGTTTTAAATCTGATGTAAAACGATTGAGCAAGGTTCCTATAAAGAATAGTCAGTCACCTGGTAGCTTTCTTCAGGGGCAGATGGAATTGCAAATGAAACAAAGAAAATAAAAAAGGAGAATTTATCCTGGCCCTTGGGGGTGGGATGGGGTGGGGTGGGGGTGGGGGTTCTTCCCACCCTCTCCCCTGCTGGCATCCCCTGAGAATTTTCAATTCCCAATAAATAACCGTGGAGGCGCCCCCTAGTGGAAAAGATGCTACACTAAACATGCATGGAGGATCCCGGGAGATAAATGATGTAGTTTTGTCTGCAGGGAAAAGATGTGATTGTATTTAGGGGGTGGGGGAAGGGGACTTGAGCTCCCTTTTTTCCCCTGGCATAGAGTGGTCATCGTTCTTGGGACAGTTGGAATTTCGCGAGCGTGTGTCTAATGGCCTGTGAGGCCAGCTGGAGAGGGGGCGTGAGAGGCAAGGCCAAGGGTTTTCTAGGCAAAAGGCAGTCTAGCTGCTGATGCCTCCGAGTTGAAGGAACAAGTACTTTTTCTCTTCCTCATCAGTCTCTGCAGTGATCTGGAAGGATGGGTTTCAGCTCTGACCGGCACGCCTCACCATCCTGAGAGCCGGCCCTGCTATGGAGGGGGGTGCGGGCGGGTTACCCACACTTCTTGCAGAAGTACCCACACCCACTTCTTGTTCTGCCTCTATTACTCACTGGTTTGCTCTGGGATGCCACCTCTCCAGACCTGTTTCCTCACCTATAAAACAGGGATAATGACGGTGCCTTCCTCCTACGTTTGGCAGTGAAGACCCCCATGGGGGTAAAAACACATGGAACGTGCTGGCCCACAGTAAGCCTCCAAAATGCCAGTGGTCATTACCACCACGACTGGTGTTTCTGCCGGCTGCCCAGGCTGGGGAACACCTTGATCTTGGGCCGCTTGCTTTAGGCCGAGAAGATTTGGGGCGCAGGAAGAGGCCAAAGCAGGTGCGGCCAGCGCTGAGCCATGTCCCATTGAGCAATATGAACGGGAAGAAGAAAAGTACAGGGGCGCCTGGGTGGCTCAGTCGTTAAGCGTTTGCCTTCGGCTCAGGTCATGGTCCCAGGGTCCTGGGATCGAGCCCCGCGTCGGGATCCCTGCTCCGCGGGAAGCCTGCTTCTCCCTCTCCCACTCTCCCTGCTTGTGTTCCCTCTCTCGCTGTCTCTCTCTCTCTGTCAAATAAATAAAATCTTAAAAAAAAAAAAAGTAAGAGAAGTACAAACCTGTGGGACCCACTTTTTCCTTGGGGTTTCTCTGAAACTTACAAAGAATAAATGTACTTATGTTTATTCTTGTTCTGGAAAGGTTTTATGGTGGTTTAATAACCTCCAGAACCAGTCAGCCAGTGCCTTGCCCAGCAGGAGACATGGACACTTGTGAACATCAGGATACAACACTTTTAATTTTTCAAAGCATATTTGCTTCTTTCTTTGCTTCAGGAGATAATTTGAAACCTCACTACGTGTAAGGCCCTGTGTAGGTTGCCATGGGAGGGGGGTATGACAATGTGCAAGATCGAGCTCCCGTCTTCCAAGTTGTCACACTCCTTCCAGACACACAGGATCATAACAGGGCAGAACAGAATCCTCTTCTTGTGACAAAGAAACTTGAGGCACAGAGAAGGTAAGCAATCTGTTCAGGGACACACAGCAAGGCAGGACCAGAACTGGAGTATCCTAATTCCTGACCTAGGTTTTATTCATTCATTCACTCATTCATTCATTCAATATTTCTTGAGCATCCACTTTGTGCCTGCTGTGTGCTAGGCACCAGGTGTGTAAAAGTGAGCTAGACGGGGTCTGCCAGGATGGGGCTTTGTTCTAATGGGGTGGGGATGGGGCAGGGGCAGACAAACAGCAAGGAAAAGGAAAGATGATGTAATAGAACGGAGACGGGCTGCCAGGGCTACTTGACGGGGAGGGCAGGGAAGGCCTCTCTGAGAAGCCCCAGCTACTGGGCAGAGGAAGAGAAAGGGAAGAATAACAGCGGAGGCAGCGGGGAGGAGCCAGGAGAGTGCCACGGTAGAGGTCCCCTCCCCGAACCCACCTTGCACAGCCTGAGCAACCTTCTAGGAATCCCACCACCACTTCCTCTCCGTGCCCCCAACAAAGAGAGAAAAGGTGGCTCAATTCAACAAACCTATACCGTTGCAAGTAAACAACAGTTTGACTTTGTCCCCGGTGGTCAGGGAGCTATAGACAAGTCCTAGATATGGGCTTATTCCCCAGGAGCATTCATGGTCTAGTGGGGCAAAGCAGCCAAACAAGAACTACCAGGATCTACCAGCTGAGGGCGGAGGGAGAGGGGCAGAGATCGGATAGGGAGGCAGGGGCTGCAGGGCCCAGAAGGGGCAACCTCCTCACTGGGGAGAAAGGCCTTTGCCACTTGGTCTCCCTCAGGGCAACCCCCATCCACCCCCGCAGGCAGCTGCTATCCCCGGCTGGGGTGGAGGAGGATGGGTTGACCTACATCCTTCCAGGGCAGACTTCAGCACAAGACAAATGGATTGCTTTTTCTAGACCCTTGTATCAGGGTTTTGGGGCGACTGGCCACCAAGCAAATCTCCTGTGGACGGGCATTGATAAGAATGTGGTTACCATAGCAACCGCCACTCCTTACCTTCCTATCAAACCACATCCTGAGAACATTAGGAAGAGGGGGCTGGGTGGGAGTCAGGGGCCCTGCATCTTCCCTTATTGTACTCTTGCTACTATTCTTTACCACCACTGTGCCTCAGTTTCCCCCAGTTGAAACTGAGACAACAGTACTTGGGGGCACCTGGGTGGCTCAGCTGAGTGTCTGATTTTGGCTCAGGTCAGGATATCAGGGTCCTCCGATCGAGCACCTTGTCTAGCTCCTTCTTCCTGCTCAGTGGGAAGTCTCCTTATCCCTCTCCCTCTGCTCCTCCCCGACCCCTCGTGCCTGCGCGCATGCGCTCTCTCTCTCTGTCTCGGATAACCAAAAAAATCTTTAAAAAAAAGAAAGTGAGACACTTCTTTACAATTAAGCTGATCACAGACACCTGGAAAGCCTTGACCAAAGGATGCTCTGCCCCCCGTTGGAAAGAGGCCTACTTGTTTCTCACTGAGATTCGTGTGTACAGATTTTTCTAAGAGTTGAACAGGTAAGAGAAACCTGAGTAAGAGGTATAATTCTGCCACCAGCTCTGTGTCCATGTGACGTCGAGCAAGTCAATCTCTCTGAGCCTCCATTTCTTGATCTCTAAAATGGGTATAACTGTTTATGCCCTTTCTGCTTTATAGAGCTGTTGTGAGAGTCACACAAGGTATTATTGCGAGAGCATTCTGGAAAATGTAAAATCTCACATGAATGGAAAG